CAGATGTGTGTGCTCCAGGGATTACTGGGGTCTCTGTCCCTTGTACTCAGACTCAGGTCAAGAGACTATTTCTGGCCCCTTGCTAATGAGGAAGGGGCTCCTGGTGTGCCATGGGATCTGCTCTCCAGGCCCAGGACCGAGAGTGGGATTAAACTGGCAGAAGGTAAACAGTATAATGGGCACTTGTGCAGGGACGGATCAGGAGGGGGCTGCACACTAATTTGGAGGGTTGAAGTTGGTATTTCCTAACGAGCTACTCTGGCATCTAACCCAGCTCATTCTCTAAACTCTGATATTCTCCTTGGGCTAGTAGTGCGTGTCTGCCTGTGCTCCCTTGACCTCCAGCCTCTGCCCTGCCCTGGCTTGTCCTTCCCCGTCCCCCACCCTCTTGGTGCGGACAGATCGTGGGAATCAAGCCAGAGTTGGCCAAAAGCTAAATGTGTGGGCTGCTGTGCTGTAACTTCCCTGTGCCTTCCCTGAACTCAGACTTGATGTTATTAGCCCTTTTGCTGTTATTGATGGATAATACAAAGCATGATCGTGTTAGACTTTTTCTGCACCTGCTGATTCTCCTCCTGGCTCACTCACTCCTCCTCCTCAGTTTCCTTTGCTAGTCCTTCATATCTGTGAATTCTTTTCTGGCAGGGGGCGGGCCTTGGGCTCCATCCTTGATCCTTTCTGTAGACACCCACCCCCTTGGTGTTCTCATCCAGTCTCATGGCTTTAGGTACTGTTGATATTCCAGTTATTCTCACATGTACTTCTCCAGCTCTGACTTCTTTTCCTAACTCCACACTTGTATGTCCAACTACCTCCTTGTATCCTCACCTGGATGTCTGGGAGCCACGTCAGGCTCAGCAGAGCTGAAACAGAATTCCTGGTTTCCCTCCAAACTCATTCTTCTGCAGTCTTCTCTATCTTGATAGATGGGAAAACCCCCAAACTGTGGCCCTTCTCTCCTGCCTCTCACACTTCACCTGGACTCCATTAGCAAATCCTGTTGCCTCTACCTTAGAAATGCCCAGCTTTCCCCCCTTTCCACTGCAACCATCCTGTCTCACTCAGATGACTGCAAGAACCTCTTAACTGGTCTCCCTGCTTCTGCCTTTACAGTCCATTCTCAACAGTGGTCCTTTAAGAACAGAAGTCAGATGGTGACACTACTCTGCTCAAACCCTCTCTTGGCCTCCTGTTTCTATAAGGGGAAACATTTTTACAGTAAACCCCATGACTTTCTTGACCCGATCAGTCTGTTGATACTCTCTAGCTTCCTCTCCTGTGCTTGGCAGCACTGGCCGCTTGCTCTTCCTCAAGCATGCATGCCTGTGTGCTTCCCCTCAGGGCCTTTGCACGGGCTGCTTGTGTCCGAAGTGTTCTTCTCATCTCCACACTTGTTCATGCTGAGTCCTTGCTCAGCTGTCACCAATTTAAGACCTTAACTGTCTATTCAGAATTATAATCTGCCTTCTTCTGTTTCCCCCTTGCCCAGCTCTTTTTTTCTCCACAGTACGAGGACACATGTCATTTACCTACTATGTTTATTGTCCATCTACTCCAGTAGAATATGGGCTTCCCTAAGGCAGGGATCTTTATCTGGGATGTTGGCTGATAAATATCAAGCTTCTAGAATGTAGAAGACACTTGATAGGTATTTGTTGTTGAATAAGCTACTGATGAGGATTTGCTGAGCCGTCAGACTCCCTTCTAGGAGGAAGTGTATGTTTAAGTTCACATTTAGAAAAACATTTTACAGTATTTCTCTGATGAACAGGGACCTTTTCCCCCCTGAGTCCTGAAAGTCGTATACCTCATCCCGTTTCCTTTTCTGCTTTGGCTACCAGGATGCCAGGAACTAAGTTTTATGCTCAGCTGTGATAGTGCTTCAATATTTGGGTGAAATAATACAATCCTTCCCTTCTTTTCCCCTCTCCCCAGCCTTCATTTGATGAAAAGTTGTTCTGTAGTTCTTTCTGTTTATTTTAGACAAGGACTACCTGTACCTTTTGTTGTTAGACCCTTCAAGTAAACTTTGAGGGTGAATGGTTTATAAAAATTCATATCCACTCTACAAAGAGAAGTCATAGCTTACTAAAGAGATTTGTTTGTCTTCACTTATTGCTGGGTTTTTTTGTTTGTTTTGTTTTGTTTTGTTTTGTTTTTTGAGCTTCAGCCAGGTCAGCACCATTGTTTCAGGTAGTATGCCACTTACTGGTTTGATCAGCGTTCTGAGACAGCAGTTTTGGATGTGCTTTCTCTCCGTAGGCTTTTATTTGGTTGAGTTACTCTTATACTAGTATTAGTATACTTGTAAACTAGCATTGTCTACTTGTTTGGCCAGTCAATTTCAAACTCTTGCTTCTTAGATCCAGGGACCCTAATTTCTGACAGAGTGTCCCTCGAAGAATTTCTTGCCACATTTCAATAAAAGGAGTTGTTGGCTAAAACTGGAAAGGATTAAATTAATGGCAGGGTGTTCAGTCTGGACACATAACTGATGTCCCAGTGTGCGCTTTTCAAATGGGAGTAGTTTGAGGGGGTATCCAAAATCAAAGGGCTAAATATCTTCCTGGAACCTCAATTTTGCTTGCAATTTTTTGAGAAATGTCTTTTGAATTTGGGCAACCTCGGAAATTCTGTCACGAAGATGCTTACAAAAAAATATACAGAAATCCGTATTTCTGAGTTGGCCAGTTGGAGTTCATGATTTTGGTAAGTGTTGTCCTTTGATTTAAGCAGCATATGGTGATATTAGCAAGGTGGTCCAGGAGAGTAAGTCACAAAGGCTTGTGTTAATGTCCCTGCTCCCAGGACTGCTGTTTATGCATTAGAACTGGAGATGAGGATTTCACAGTGACTCCTTAGAAACCACACAACTAGTTTTTTTAACAAACTGAATTTGCCACCCACAGGATCAGTAGTCTCAGTTGGTTTTAAAATCTGATTACCTAAAGTCATTGGTTCTTCCAAATTAGTTCAATTTCCTGTTCACGTTGCTTTTAATCAAGTTCTGTGTACAAACCCACACATATCCCTAAACTTTGCCTCTTATGACTAAGGTAATGGAAAACACAACAGTATGAGGAATTCTGATTTTATCTTGTGATCTCAGTCACTTTAAAATGATAAAAATTGCAGAGTGAATGAGAAAACCTGAAAAATCCCGAACTCTTCAAGGAACGTGACCATCCTGGCATTGTATGTGAAGGCGTTGCTCCTCGTGAGTGGGCCAGCGAGGTGAAGCCTGTGTCCCCAGCCCTCAGGTAGGCAGTGCCAGCACTAGTATCCTAAAAAACACAGACTGCATTTTAGTGCTATTTGAAATATGGGTTTTTATTATGTTGGCATTGCAAATTAGCTTGTCATTAATTCTCATGTGTAAAAAATATTGAATATCATATGGCTCTATGAAAAAGGTTAACCACGTTTTACATGTGTGTTTGTATTCTTCAAAACAGTCAGGTGGTTCTGCAAGGCCTGTAAATGAAAACAGCACCTCTCTACCCCACCTTCTCCCCCTGATTCCTTCCCCTTAGAGGAAACTACTTACATACCTCTTTTTCTTCTAATGTTGTTGCACCATAAGAAAATACTGATATTTGACTGATTTAGACCTATGAAAATGGCAGGGATTTTTTTGTTTGTTTTAATTGAAGTGTAGTCAGTTTACTTACAATGTTGTGTCAATTTCTGGTGCACAGCATGTTTCAGCCATACATATGTGTACATATATTCCTTTTCATAGTCTTTTTTATTATAGGTTACTGCCAGATATTGAATATAGGTCCCTGTGCTATACAAAACTTGATGTTGATTTATTTTATGTATAGTAGCTAGTATATGCAAATCTTGAAAAAATATGGACTGCTTCATGAATTTTTGTGTCATCCTTGTGGAGGGACCATGCTCTCCTCTGTATGGTTCCAGTTTTAGTATATGTGCTGCCAAAGCAAGTGTAAGGGCAGTATTTTTAGAAAACATGATTATACTGTCATTTCTCAATTTTCTAAAATCCAAATTTGGACATTATTTCCTTTCTTCACACTGTGGAAGATGAGATTATAACTCTTACAACTACTCCCAACACTCTTTTCTAAAATTCTCCTAGTGTAAATAAAGTTTTAAATTTTGATTAGTATATATGGGAGTCATTCTCAGCTGAGACATGTAATTTAAATGACATTTCCTTACTCATACAGCTTTTCCTTACCCAGAGTTAAGAACTGGTTTGTTTGTTGACCTTATGTACCTCTCACTGATCCACCCCCAAATTGAAGCCCAGCCTCCCTCTGTTTGTGTTTGAAAACCTTGGGGTAGCTGTCTGTTTGATCGTTTCCTCCTGAAGGCATCCTCTGTGAAGTGTCCCCATCAACCCAGACATGCCCTTCATGTCTCTTTCCTGGATTCCATGGATCACCTTTCCTGGTGGTCTCTCTTGGTCCCTTATCTTGGTATAGGGCACTGGCCATCAGCTTCTGAGAAAAGGGTACACAGGGGATACAGTTATACAGTTTCTTGAGATTTGACATGTCTAAGTTGTACCCCCAACCCCCGCCACACACTCTTGATAATTTAAACATACAATTCTAGGTTGGAAATCTTTTCCTTCAGAACTTTGGTAAGGTTGCTTCCTAAATTTCTAACCTTTTATGAAAGCTGGAACTTTCCCCTCTTCTTCTCTTTGAAAGCTTTTAGTATCTTTTATTTGTCCCAAGTATTCTAATTGATCTGTTTTCATTGACTTTTCTGGACACAGAATGACCTTCCCAATATAGAAGCTTACGTTTTTCAGTTATTGGAAAATTTCTTGAATTACTTTGATCACTCTCTTCTTTTGCTTGAATTCCTGTTTTCAAACGTTGATCCTTCTGGACCAATCTTCTGATTTTCTTACCTTTTTCTCTTCTGCTTTCTAGGTGTCTGTCTTTTTATTCAATTTTGGGGTGAATTCTTCAGCTTTATTTATAACCATTTTACTGAATTAAAAAGTAATCTTCAGGGCGGAGGGTATAGCTTAGTGGTAGAGTGTGTGCTTCGCATGCACAGGGCCTTGGGTTCAATCCCCAGTACCTCCATTAAAATAAATAAGTAAATCTAATTACCCCCCCCAATTTTTTTAAATAAAAAAAAAAATTACAAATGGAAAAGAAGTATGGAATTCTTAAAAAAAAAAGTGCCATCTTCAAGTGGATAATACATGGCTCAAATTTAAAAGATATATAAGGGCAAAATGAAAAACTTCCCAGGTCCTGCTACTGGCCACCATATTCCCTGCCCAGAGGCAATCAGTGTTCTTTCTTGTGGAAATACTCTGTTCATATAGAAAAGAGTGAATGTGTGTGTATTATTTTTTAACAAGATTCATTTTTTCTACATATCGTTATATGCACCTTGCTTTTTCATGTAATCATGTCTTGAGATTCCTCCGTATTTTTATATGGAGGTTCAGTTTCTCCTATATTTTTATAGTTCAGTTTCTCCTGTATTTTTATAGTTTTAAACACAGCAGCAGAGTATTGCTTTTCACAGATGCTCCATGTTTTGTTGAATCTGTCTCCTATTGTTTTGCTATTTGCAACATTGCTGCAAGGGATAACTTTGTACAAACATTATTTTTGCTGACATGTGACAGGATTCTAAATATGGAATTACCCGTGAAAAGATATGTATGTATTTGGACTTGTAGTAGACATTGTCCCGGATGCCTTCCGTGTAAACTCATCAGGACAGTGTTAAAGTACCTTTTTCTGTATCCTTGCCAACATGGTAGGTTAGGAAACTTCTTAGTCTTTGCCAATCTGATAAGTGAAAAATGGTATCTCGTGTGGTTTTAATTTGCATTTGTCTTAGGAGGTTGACTATCTTTTCATGAGTCTATAAGAATTTGGATTTACCTTTTTTTTTTTTGTATTTTGTATTTGTATTTACCTTTCTGTGAACTGTTGTATCCTTTGCTATTAGGCTGTTAGTTATCAAGCTGTGTCACTCTGTGTATAAGGGCAATAGGGCCCTTAACAGTGGTAAGAATTGAAGTTGTTCCTAGTTTGTTATTCATTTTTTGACTTAGATTATGTTGCATTTCTCCTTGCAGATGAATTTACCAACTGCTTCTTTTAAGGCCTTTGAATTCAATGCTATAAAGAGAGAACGGTCTTCTCCACTCTAAAAATATATTTTTTTTAATTGACCAGGGTTTCTTCTGGTACTTCTGTGGCTTTCATTTTTATATTTATATTATTAATCCACCTTAAATTTATTTCAAATTATTAATCCTCTTTAATTTATTTCAGGAAGTAGGGATATCAGTTTATATTTTTCAGATGGCTGCTGGTTTTCCCAACCATTCATCGATAACCCATTTTTCTTTTTCTTTTTTTGATAGGAAATGCCACCTTTACCATATACTAATCCCATATGCTTTTGTGTCTGTCTCTGTTCTGTTGATCTCAAGCCATTCCTGTTTTAATTGTAACACTATTCTAATTGTTGAAGCTTTCCAACATATTTTTGTATTAGGGAAAATTAGGTTTTTGTTTTACTCTGTTGTTGATGTTAATCATCAGTTTTGCAGTGACATTTGAAAATGAATTATGCACATTTTAAAGGAAACCAATTAGAATTCTATGTTATGCAAAAGAAGTATACCACCCTAGGTAAAGGGCAGAGTTTCTTAACTCAAAGTTTGCTTTCTTTTTTCCAATGAGGGAAAAACAAGATGGCAGAACAAGGGTAGTACTTAATTATTCACCTTTGGGATCAAGATTGGCTTATGCATCAGAACATTTAGCCTTGAGGGAGGGAAAAAATATTTACATAGGTCAGCAATTGTGCAGCAAAACTCAGGTTTGATAGTTGGATGAAGAGACTTGATTGTGGGAATTCTGAATCATTTCAGATGCAGCCCTTAGTTCATTCTCAGGTGATGAAAATACAGCATCAGCAGTCAAGCAGCACCGGTGAAAAGCCTTTATTTGTCTGAGATGAAAAGAGAGACTCAGTGAACCAGAGACCATTTCCTTCTGAACCATGACAGTCTTTTGGCATCTCTCCTCAGTGTTACTCCAAGATAGCCCATTAAGTGGGAAATCCAGTTGCCACTTCTGTATGTGTGTCTGTGTGAGCCAGTCTGTTGCTGTATTAATACTGGGACAAGAGAGCAGAGAACCTGTCTGGGTGGCCTCCTGAGCTATGGTGCCCCAAAGCCATGCTCATGAGTGAGGCATTTCAGAAACCATTTTAATGGGTTTAGAATATTGATTGACTGTGAATGCAAGCACAGATGTATTATGGGATAGACTTGTCTTAGTCAGCTCTGGCTGCTTAACAAAATACTCAGATTGGGTGACTTGAACAACAGACATTTCTCACGGTTCTGGAGGCTGGGACACCTAAGCAAGGGCTCGTGATTGGGTTCTGGGGAGAGCCTGCTTCCTGCCTCGCAGAGGGCTGCCTTCTTACTGGGTCCTCACATGGTGGAGAGGAAGGGCTCCGGTCTCTTCCTCTTTATGTAAGTTCTCTAATCCCATCAGGGCTGCTCCCTTCATGACCTCATCTAAACCTGATTTCCTCCCAAGGCCCCACCTCCAGATCACAGTGGGGGTTGGGGCTTCAGTAAATGGATCCGGAGGGGATGCAAACATTCAGTCTGTAGCAAGACTCAAAGTGATGGGTGGAGACTGGCTCCATTTAGACATAACAGCTTAAATAGATTGAAAAGTCACTTGAGAGCGTTCATCTTTCTTTGGGAGCCCTGGACCTAAAACTTGTGTTTAAAGCCTTTCCTGTAATGCCTAGAATGGATCCAAGGTCTTTCAGTGGTTTGTTTCAAAAGGTGCTATAGCCTCATTTCCCTTTGTAAGTGAGAGGTTTCAAAGAAAGAAGCATTCACTTAAATGTTAGCATAAGTTTGTTTGTTTGTTTCTTGTTTTTACCATTTTAAGTGTACAATTCGTTGGTGTTAAGTATATTTATATCACCCACATCCATCTTCAGAACGTTTTCATCTTCCGAAACAGAAACTCTACCCATTAAATGCTAACTCATGTTCCCCTCCCCCTGACAACACCCATTTTACTTTCTATTTGCTTTATTTTTATGTTTAAATATATAGCTGATATTCAGAAGCTAAACATTCCTTATTTGAAAGTCTTCACTAAGCTACTTGCTGTGAGCATACAGTTTGCTGATTAAGCCTGGGATTAAACCAGTCTTAATCATTGGTTTTAGAATGTCTTGGAAGTGGATAAAAGTGTCTGAGTTTATTGTGAAGAAACGTACTTTCGGATTTCTAGAGTAGATCACAGATTGCCTTACCAATGGTAACATCTCAATCAACTGTGTATATCTTATCTCTTGGCCAGAAAACAAAACTAGCCATTGTGGTATAATAAACCTTGTGTACACCGCTGCAGGAGGGAGCAGGAAGGTAGCTGTGATCAGAGACCCTAGGTTACTTGCGGAAGATGGTGGGACATCTGGCACCATGTGGTTTCTGGTAAGAACAGTTTTGGAATTGGATTTTGTCCTGTGGTGATGGTGACTCTTTGAAGAGGAAGGCATTTTTGAATATTTGCATTGCTTTGAAGGCAGCGCCAAGGAGACATTGTGACTTATTACCAGTCAGAGGCAAAGGTGGGTGTGTGAGGCTTTCATAATTCAGGAACAAAGATTGTTGAGATAGTCATCAATATTGTCAGTAAAAATTTTGAACCCTCAGGGCAATTTGGAAGAGTCATAGCTGTTTTTAGAATCTGCTGCTAATCACAATATATCATAGATGTTAATCCTGGATTAAGAATTTGAATTTGGGTTCAGAGTTTAGGTCTGCTGGTTTGTGGCTTCAGGCATATTGTTTAACCTTTCTAAGCCTCCGTTACTTCATCTGAAGAATGAATATCGAGACAGTTTGTTACTGGGTTCTTTGTAAGAAACAGATGAAATAATGCACAATGTGTTTAAAGTGTGTGGCACGGTCTAAGTACTTAATATGTGAAAACTCATGCCCCTGAAAGAGGCATATAAAATGGAAAGTTTTATACATACATACATATTTTTATCCTCTAGAACACTCTTAAGAGCTTCCAGTGGAGTTTATTTGGCTTATTTGAATCCCGAATAATTTTTCCTGAATCATGTTTGGATGTCTGGACTATCCTGGTTGAAGGCGAACACTGCCTGGTGAGAAGTCAGGGATAACAGAGGCTGGTTTTTGGCACAGTCAGTCAAAACGAGGGTGGCATTTCTAGTTCCTGATAGAGTGAGTGAGGCAGATGCAGAGGTCATGTGAGCTTGGAACAGTTCCTACCCATTATGTTGTTTGCCTCTTCAAAACATAGTCTGGAATTTGTTTTCAGTAGCTAAGTTCATTATCTAACTGTCTCCAAGCTGTACCTCCCCTTTTCCATGATTATGAAAAGCCAAACAAAATCACTAGGCGCTCACATCATCCTTGTAGGAGGATCTGGAGATTGACTAGCTAACGCTCCCAGATTCTGAAGATTTGGGTTCAGATAAGGAGAAGAATATGTCACCCAGTCCTTTTCCCTCTCCTTTTTATCGACAAGGATTAGCAGAGGTTTGCAGCCTGGGGAGCAGAGAAAGGGGTGGGCAGAAATATGCACCCAAATAATGCATCTGCCTCGATAACTGCCTCTCTGGGTTTACTTGGAAAGGGCATGAGTAATAATAGTGGGAGTGTGAAGAATAAGCCTTTAGACCTACCCAGAAATTCAGAAAATGTAATGCAGAAATGTACGTTTTTCCAGCTTGTGAATCCAAAACAATGGGCTTGTTGGAAGTTTTGAGACTTGTTCTTTTTTTGAAAGCATTATTGTGTTCAGTGGGTACATGTTCTTTGCTCATAAAAATCTGTGCCTTCAACATTGTACACTGACTATACTTCAATATAAAGGAAAAAAATGCCAAAAAAAAATTGCACCTTAATCACATTGCCAGGAAGACTGTGGATTTTACTGCCAACAAAGTAATGGAAGATGTGGTGTCCTCTCAGCAGGCACCAGGAGATTCTCTTGAAAGAAAGGGGGAAAATGCTGCTGTTAAGCAGAAAATGCTGACT